TACAGTAAAATATAATGTCAAAAGTAAATACATTGGGTAATAATCAATGAGTACAATAAATAAATTTCATGAAGATTTTATGGTAGACAGATTTCCATCCCCCGACTATGAAGAAGGTTTAAGTTTTCCGCTGTACCGATTGATTTCAAAGATATGGGACAATTCCCCTAAGAGGCAACATGTAGAGTTCGTAGAGGTGTTAAATGGGTTCCGATGTCTGTTGAAAACGGTACAAAATGCCATAAATGTCTTCCCGAATACCCTACTATCTATTGGGTTCGAGAATGTTTTAGAATTTTGTTCGAGAACGTTTCCGAATAACCAATTTTCCGGCTTGTTGTTGTTGCCAATAAAGGTAAATGGCGGAGTAAGATATAAAAGAAAATTGCTGGAACATGAAAACATCATCATCAGGTGAAAACTCTTCAATAAAGCCAAGAAACGAAACTGTTGTCGTGGATCTAGAGAACTAGAGAACTATAAAACAGTGTCCAAGCCTTCTAAAGTAAATTCCTCAGAAGAATTAAAGTAGTAACTAGAAAAAGCAAAATAAGAAATCAATAAATTAGATGGAAAATACATTATAACATCTGCTATGGAAAAAGGAAGAGGTAGAGAAGACTTCATCAGTCGTCAGTCCTGAGACTGGTTGGACATGTATCTCTACTCTTTCCTATTCTGAGCTAAACTTTGCCTCTACCCCTTCTAACTCCCGTTTCTGCCTCTAATATGTCTCTGATTAGACCTTCATACCTGAGAAGGTGTCCTACCAACCTATCTCGCCTATTTTTTATAGACTTCCATAGAGTCCTCTGTTCTCCTATTCTTTCTAATACCTCTTCATTTCTAAGCCACCTTATCCTCATTATGAAGACTTGGGATAATAAAATAGACGAAACAAACAAAACGTTAGAAAAAGCATTGGAACTATCCCTAGGTAGGAAAAACTGGAAAAAGTGTATCAAGACCTAGAGATAGAAACGAAAAGAGAAACAAAAATATAAAATTCTGCTCCATATTATGATATTAGACGGATGGTATGGTAAATACTATAAGTATATTGCTTCACTTCCTGCTTATATACCTACTGTGAATATTCACAAACTTTTCATTTAATTTAACATGCGTCAAAGTCTCTAACGTTTTATTATTAATTTATTGCACACGTATTTCAAATATTTGCAAAACGGTCCAGCCATGCAAAGCTGAAGATGAGAAGGGATGAAATGCGAGGAACGGCGTGGCAGAACGGTTGGCATTCAGGCCGGGAGTGCTTGACGCAAGAACAAAAACAGAGTAGAAACAAGAAGTCACGAAATGTTCATAGCAGGCCGGGTGTTGGAGCAATCTTACATTGGTGTGTCGGCACTTTATGAGAAATAACCTCATAACGTGGATTGCATCCGAGCCAGTGCAATAGCTAAGGATTTGTGCTGTACGTACGTGTCCTTTATCTTACTTTCGGAAGAAACTCGCCCGGCGCTGCGGTCGTCTACACGGAAGAATTTTATATCGAGGTACCTTTTTGTATGAGCAACAGCAAAATGTTTCCACACCTAGTACGTTTTTGCTACAGCACTTCCTCCGTCAGCTATAAATTAACTGCACCCGCAGAAAAATCCTCACAATTATGTAGCCATGTCAGGGATTACTGCGGAAAATATACTGGTATACGTTTTTTCATATTTCACCAGATTTCTCCTGTGAATGAGAGCAATCTACAATGTCTTAAGAACTTCTGTTAGTTTATATATTCTATACGTTATCACTACGACCCTGATGCTTGCAGAAATTAGAGTCCCTTGTCCCTTTCTAACGTAAACTGATAAATGAAAATTAAACTGCCAACAGGATTTTATTAAATTACGAAAGGTACATAGATAAAGACCGCAACGATCGAGGATGATTTCTGCAGATCCTTAAAAGATTGTTTAATTAATGCCCCTTTTAGCGAAAAATTTGTCACTAAATTTAATGGTCTTGAAAATAAATGTTTTGGCAACAATGAAAGTAAGCAACCGACAACGTCGCATCCTGCTTTAAACCAACTAGGTGTGAAAATTGGGGTAATGCGTATTAATGAGTCAAGTTTATTAATGATTTAGCTGGAAATCATTAATCTTTTTCCATTAAAAGGGCGATGAAGGTGAGTTTTTATTATGTCTAAAGCGTCGTTACTATGACGCTTTTCTTGATTAAATGCAGCTAAATATCCGAAAAATAAAAACTTAAAGGGAAGAGAATGTACAGCTAAACATTATTTATTATTCTTATCTTCAAATTACTCTAATCGCCTAATCAAAATAACAGGAGATGCTCGCGAACGGTTAATTTAGAAATTCGAAAAAGGCCGTTAAAGATGTATGTTTGGAGCACGGCGCTGTACGGGTGCGAAACATGGACGGTGGACGCAGTGGAAAAGAAAAGGTTAGAAGCGTACGAAATGTGGTGTTATAGGCGAATGATGAGGATATCGTGGATAGAGATAGATTAGTAGGACACCTTTTTAGTCAGAGGCATATTAGGAGTAGAAACGGGATGTTCTAGTTTTAGCTTAAGATAGGAAACAGTGGAGGTACGTGTCCAACCAGTCTTAGGACTGACAACCTTAAGGAAATGTACAAAAAGACCAAGAAGGATGAAAAACTAAAAAACCTATAGGATGTTAAAGAAGTGTCTTAGAAGTTACGTTAGTAAATTAGTATCTGATTTGGATGCTGATAAGGTCTGAGATAATGTTGGTTTCTAGTTATTTCGTTATTTAAAGTTATCAACAATCAAAATTTTAATTTAGGTTAAACGGAGGGGTACAGACAACTGAATAGTTACATTGCTTATTCATATTTCTGTTATCAATGTTTGTGTTTCATTTTTTAATTTTCACTTTATTGTTACGTGTCACATACATCCTTGTCACGATTAGTCGTCTTTCAACAGCAAAAACAGCGCACTACTTGGTTCTTCATTTCTAAAATTCAGCGTTGAACAGGACAAAGTGTTCAGTGGTTTGTGTTGTGAAAGACTGCAGCTTTTGACATACGAAACAGAAAGAATACGTAGTGGTATTCGCGTTTAGTGTGGAGAAATCGGGTCCGCTTTTGAGTAGAATTTGAAATATTTCGTTAGCAACTCCAGTGAGTGGTGTTTAGCGTTCCAGAAGAATTAACGTCGCTCCAGGTCTTTGAAAGCTTAATTAACGATATGTACCAAGTATGTGTATCTGGTTTACGTAAATGTGTGAATATACGTACATACGTACAAGAGTGACACACTCGTGAGAGAGCTACTGGATGACAAGAAACGATCTCTTCTAAATGCCGATTTAATTTCGTAGTCGCGGCTTTGACAAAGAATTCTAATTTAGTTGGAAACATTCGGTGCGTGGTGGGTCGAGTGGTGCAGACTACTGCGACAGCGAACGTTTTCAATTACGGTGGCTTTCCGGAACAACTTCCACTTACATCGACCGGTTTCGAGAGATTAAAGTCAAAGGAACGAATGCATTTATCAGCACTTAACGCTCATCCATTCGGGAAACTTTCATACATATTACCTACTAACATTAATTCTTCTTGCATGAATTTGGCACTAAAGTATTAACGAAGACAGTGACACAGGGTCGATTCCTATCGTAATGAATTTTCCAGTATCTATTTGATTTGTTATTTATTTTACAGTTATATATTTACATGATAACTCTAGTGAGGCACTTAAACTACTTCTTATTTATATCACACTGTATCTTAGTAATGCTTAGTTACTAGTCACTCGGTATTCGTCTGAAATTTCTACTGATCAGCTGTTCATAAACTACCTCCGGCGGTCATACAGAGGTCTATTTATATTTTTATCGACTTCTTTGGAACTGCCTTCATTCTTCTCGAGAATTCTAGAACTACCATTGTTAAGCAGGCAAATATGTGTCACTCAGGGTAGGGTATCATTTTTTACCTTTAGCGCTTTTAGTGTAAAGATTGCCGACCATCGGAAGGTTCCTGACTACAGACATACTCAAAAAACGTCGAGTATCAATCACGTAACTGAATAAAAAGTTACCGTTTAGAAATAGTTAGTTATAAATGTAAAATCGGCGATAAAAGATTATACAAATTTTTAAATAAACTTTTTATTTTACCATTATTTTTAATTACCATCTGGCATAAAATATTAGTAAACTTTATACTAAAAAGCTATAAGTGGAAAACGTAGCGCCAGATTTGTAGGGGTTGCACGAGCTCCCAAAAGCAGCATATTAGGTATGAGCTTGTCGGTAAAATCGATTATTAGAAATGGTCGACTATACCGTCTGGAAAGATATATTTCACTTCTTATCATGATACCCATTTTGGTTTCTATTTTATGATTGGCTGCCTCTCAAAAGAAATAAAAAATAGTATCATTTGAAACAAAGAAAGAACTGCAGTTCTGTTATTTGTGAGCTCTGATCAATGTTAGTATCAAGTACATTACGTCAAAATTGTAGATACTTAAGTAATAATTTTTTGGTTGATAACTTCATTGCAGCTGTTATTAATTTCATTTATCATTAATGTATTACATCCTGAAAATGATAAGACTCGATAAAAGTAATTATTTCGTTACTTTGACAGTATGTGAATTTTAAAATTAACACGACTGATATCAGGAGTACTTAAATGAATTCCAAAGCGACATTTCTGGCTCAACTTTACAGTTTCGGCGCAAGTAGATTTATTTGTTTAGCAAAATACAATACGAATCCTCTAAAACTCCTGGACGCTTAGAAATGAATAAAACAATTATAATCTGTCCCTTACGTCGTCAACCGTAACAACTGTAATGTAGCGGCCTGAAGACAGGACTGATATGTGCCCCGACACGCGCTTTTTTTATTGATAACAAAAATGAATGTTCAAATGATCCTTATCGTTAACTCAACCAACATTTTCAGCGATTCACTTTAAAATGACTAATTTTACCTTTGAAGCTTTTGATAAAATAATCTCGAAATGACGTTTTAACGAAGACTATTTAAAGTCAAAAAGTCCGCAATAACTTCATTGCAGTTGAGAGGCCCTACCTTCAACAAAATGAATCCAACGACTGTTACATACCTGCTATTCTCCCTCTTGGGTAAGAATGTACTAAATTTAGCTATTTTACTATGTAATATACGTACATTTATATATGCATGCAGAAGTATTCCATAAAATATGGATTTACTGATCTGAATTGGAACTATTAATCTTCACAATTTTTGAAGTGAATAGTGTTCACAATAAATTAACAGTTAGCAACCATACACTTTTATTCAATCAAAACTTCAAAGCTTTAACTTATTGGGGGATAATTTTTTTCAGGATATTCCAGTATCATTATTGCAGCATCAATTCCTTCTGATGTACAGGCAATTCCCTCTGATGTAGCATCGGTCCCTTTCGATGCAGTTTCTGCGAATGAAGTACCACCCCCTTCATTTAGTAGAGTTGTAGGTGGAGTACAGGTTGACATTAGAGATTATCCTTATCAGACTTCAGTGCAATACTCCTTGGTCCATCTTTGTGGTGGTTCAATTATAGCCGAATCGTTTATCCTTACAGCCGCACATTGTGTTTCACAGTAAGTTAACGCTTCCGTATCTTTTATCTATATACAGATAGATAATTGTAAAATGAGGTTTCCCTAGGATTAAGTAATAGATCTTAGGAATGATCAACTAACTAATTTTATTGACAGAAGCATTCACTGTATTAACTCGCCATCATTATCGAGAAAAATTAGACGAAAATTATTTCTTCAGAAACATGTGAGATTCTTCTGTAACAAAACTTCCCTTTTTAGAAAATTGGCTTCACAATTCTCCGTTCGTGCAGGATCGAATTATCGAAACTTCGGTGGGGTAACAAGGGCAGTTAGTGCCATCTACGTTCCTGCAAGGTATAATTCGAGTACCGCTGATTTGGATGTTGCGCTCATTTCTTTACAATCTCCTTTACAATATGGAATAGCAATTAATGCTGTTTCACTACCAGCATCAAACATTCTCATTCCTGCTGGTACCAATGCAATAACAACAGGATGGGGAGAGGGCATCTTCAATTCCCGACTTCGTGGTGTTAGCGTGCCAGTTGTTTCCTACTCTGCTTGCCGGAATACCTATAAACTAACCCCAAACATGATCTGCGCAGGTTTCGCTGGAGAAAATCGTAATGCTTGTCAGGTATATTTCATTGTTATCAAGCTCATTACCATTGTACACTCTCTACACTGATGACCGGCTACATTCACTCCACTCCACTTCCTGACCACTTGCAACCAATAATCTACTTGACGCCTTTCCCTGTCCCTAATTTGCTATGTCTTCCTACTGCTTCCAATATCTTAGTCCGGCCTGAATAAGTCCTACCCTAACAAAGGCATCCGCTTGACTCTTCCTCAAAATGATCCTCTGTCGGTCCCTTTTAAACTTTGGATTATGGTAGTTCTCAGCGTGTAGATTCAATACGTATAATAGCTATAATTGCACCTCGGAAGTCCCTACGGAAGAGTGCAACTTCGAGAGATCAAGTTTTTAATACTTACAGCCCCTTGACACATTTGATTTACACATGGAGAACTATCAGAATTCTTCCGTAAGTTCTTTCGAGTCAGGATATTATTACATATTAGAAATCTCATAATTTATTCACAATTCGTTCGTTTGTTTATTTCCCATAATTATTATATTTCAACGTACAGGGTGAATCGGGTGGACCATTGGTAGCAAACCGTTACGGTCAAATTGGCATTGTATCCTGGGGACGTGGATGCTCCTACCGTGTTTATTCTGACATTCCTGCTCTTCGAGGATGGATCAACTCAGTAACCGGATTATAAATATGTTACAAATTGGTGTAAAAACAAACAAAATATACGGCAAGCAACGATTTGGTTTAATTTATTACAACTCAGTAAAGTCCATGCAGCTGGCCGTTACAGTACTGTCCATTTTTTTTATATTTTATGGTTGGACACGCACCTCCACTCTTTCCTATCCGGACCTAATCTTCGCATTTCGCTGAAACTAGAACATCCCACATCCTTACCGTTTAAAAACATATATTTCACTTCTTTTAATGATTGGCCACCCCTCTAAAGAAATGAAAATAGTATCATCTGAGACAAAAATATTATTTGGAAAGAACTGCAGTTCTGCTATATGTGATCTCCGATAATCTGATCAATTTTAGTATCAACTACATCACACATACAATACAAGTTGTGAGAATACAAGTTGTGAAGATCCAGGACTCTAAGCTGCTAGTTTGTAAAAACTGAGGTACAAGAAAGATCTCACTTTGTAGTAGCTCGAATATGCCGAATATTCAATATGATTTCTATTATAAATACATTAAAGAAGCGGCCTGAGTACAGGCCCGATATATGCCCAGACATGCGCGTTTTTTTATTGATAACACAAATCAATCTTCAAATAATCCTTATCGTTAGCTCAATCAACATTTTCAACGACACACTTTAAAACTATTAATTCGAAACTTTTGATAAAAATAATCTCGAAAGAACGTTTTAACGAAGGCTATTGAAACTCAAAAAATTTCATTGCAGTTGAGAGGCCGCACCTTTAAGAAAATGAATACAGCGATTGTTATATACTTGTTATTGTCCCTCTTGGGTAAGGATATAGTTGATTAAGTTATTTTACTATATAATTTACATTTATAAACACTGAAAAAAGATGTACCTATACCTGGTATAAAAAAAATGGGACATTGGGCTCTATATAGCGCCACTTGTGCAACTGCATTGTAGGAAACTATAGCATGCTCCGTCTGAATTCATGATCGATAGTATTATTACGATGATGATGATGATGAGTATTATTATTGTACTATAGAAGCTGCTAACTTTTATGGTGTCAACTGCTTTTAGTTATAATACAATACATGCTGCTCAACAGATACTTTTGGATAGGTTACTGCCTTTCAAACCGTTTACTATAGAGATTGGCAGCTATGCTATAAAATTGTAAAAGATGCTATTGTTAGGATGAGCCTAAAACTATATTCTGTATAGGAGAATGACCTAATAATCCAGCTGAGTACACCCCATTCATAATAAGTACCGCTTTTCTATTGAATTTCCTAGTATAAAATGTAACATCAGTTGCTAAAACTAGTAACTCTTATGTTACATAGCAAAAGCACCCATGCATTTTTTTCTCACTCTATGTATGAAGAAGTATTAGAAAAAATATGGAAGTCAATAAGAAATAGGCGAGATAGGTTAATAGGATACCCTCTTAGGCATGAAGGTGTAGTCAGAAACATATTAGAGGCAGAAACGGAAGTTAGGAGGGGTAGAGGTAGACCGAGATTAGATTACAGTTCGCAAATAGTTAAGGATGTGGGATGTGCTAGTTTTAGGGAAATGCAAAGATTAGCTCAAGATAAGAAAGAGTGGAGATACGTGTCCAACCAGTCGTAGGACTGACGACCATATATTGATGATGATGCATGCATAAGTATTACACAAAATATGAATTTAGTGATTTGGATTGGAGCTACTAATCTTCAATCTTGAAATTTTAGGTCAAGTTAATTGGTTTTATAGTGTTCATAATAAATTGACAGTCAGCAATTTATACACCTCTGTTCAATCAAAAGTTCAAAGCTTTAATTTATTGTGGGATTTTTTTTCAGGATATTCCAAGATCATTATTGCAGCATCAATTTCTTCTGATGTACAGGCAATTCCCTCTGATATAGCATCGCTCCCTTTCGATGCAGTTTCTGCGGATGAAGAACCAACCCCTTCATTTAGTAGAGTTGTAGGAGGAGTACACGTTGATATTAGAGATTATCCTTATCAGACTTCAGTGCAATACTCCTCGATCCATATTTGTAGTGGTTCAATTATAGCCGAATCTATTATTCTTACAGCCGCCCATTGTGTTTCACAGTAAGTTAACACTTCCATATTTTTTATATGTATATAGGTAGATAGATAATTGTAAAATGGGGTTTTCCTAGGATTAAGTAAAAAACCTTAGCAATGATGTTAAACTAACAGTACTTAACTCTGCAAGCCCTTAAACTTGAACCTATTTTGTGTAAGTATCTCTCTCTAGACTAAATTTTTAAAGCGGTTTGTTATTAACGAAGAATTAACGAAAATTATTAGATAAAGAAAGTTTAAACTATTAAGGAATATTAGACTGCAGAAACATGTGAAATGCTTTTGTAACAAAAAATCTTTTTTTTAGAAAATCGGTTTCACAATTCTCCATTCGCGCAGGATCGAATTTTCGAAACGTAGGTGGCGTTACAAGGGCAGCTACTGCCATCTACGTTCCTGCAACGTATAATTCGAGTACCGCTGATATGGATATTGCACTCATCTATTTACAATCTGCTTTAACGTATGGAGAAACAATTAATGCTGTTTCATTGGCAGCATACAACATTATTATTCCTGCTGGTTACAATGCAACAACAACTGGATGGGGAGATGGCAATTTCAGTTCCCGTCTTCGAGGTTTTACCGTGCCATTTGTTCCCCACTCTATCTGCCGAAACAGCTATAACCTAACCCCAAACATGCTCTGTGCAGGGTTTGCTCAAGAAAATCGTAACGCTTGTCAGGTATATTTCATTGGACTCATTATCATGTACACTCTCCACACTTACAATCACTCCACTGAGTCATTCTTCGCATTTGTCGATAAGGCCAGAATTTCTACCCTCCCTGTCCTTAATTTACTGTGTCTTCCTGCCGCTTCCAGAACCATCTCATTTTTTATTTGGGTCTAATCAGGAGTCTGAAGTTTGTCCAGATAGCGCTACCCTGTACAGGTTATATAACTTCCTGCCTAGTAATCCCGGATCCTGCCTAGATAGGTCCTACCTTAACAAAGGATATCGTTAGATCCTTCCATAAAATTGTTCTCTGTCTCTTTGAAAATTTGGATTCTGGTAATTCTCGACGTGCACATCTAGTTTCAATGGACACTAAGTCGTAAAAATTCATCTTTTTGAGATATGTTCCTATTTGTATTGCATATCATGGATACGTCATGGTTTCGTACCACTGATGGTAATTTATTCTGTAATACTATTGTAGTACACCTCAATGTCACAGTGTATTTACAAGGATACTTGGTGTACTCAGAGGTGTAATTGGACACTTACACAGAATATACAACTTATATATGAACCTACTAACGTTTTCTTACAATTATTACACCTCTGAGTACACCAAGTTTCCCCATAAGTACACTATGACGAGCAGCTACACTACACCTTTGCAGAGTTCATCCTCATCCGTGGTCCAAAACCATGAAACGTCTATTTTATGCAAGACATATACATATATGTACCATACACTTGAAAGTATTCAATGTGTATTGTACCTTGGAAGTCCTTATGGGGGAGTACAACTTCGAGGAATCATGTCTTAAAATGATAAGCCATTAAAACTTAGAGCCTATTGTGACATTTTATAAACACATAGAAAACTATCAGAACTTAAAGTTTTGAATGTTTGACGAGGGGCCATTTTCCGCAAGAACCTAACGGGGCCCTTTCAAGAAATATCTCATAATTCATTGATAATTGGTTTATTTTCCATAATTATTATACTTCAACGCACAGGGTGAATCGGGTGGACCATTGGTTTTAAGCCGTTACGGTCAAATTGGAATTGTTTCCTGGGGACGTGGATGCTCCTACCGTGTCTATTCCAGCATTCCTGCTCTTCAAGAATGGATCTACTCAGTGAGCGGATTATAGATATATATGCTATAAATTAGTGTAAAAACAAATAAAATATATGGCAAACAACGATCTGGCTTAATTTACAATTATAACAATGATTACAATACCAATCAGTTTTATTAACAAAATAAGGTATATGTTGAAATGGTACGTCTTAGTCCATACGCGGAGCAAAATGTTCTTTTTTACCAAAAAAAAGAAATTAATGTTACATGTTTCTATATCTTTTGATACGAGAAAAATTCTCCTGATTAAATGGTATAACTCGAAGACGTCGACGTTACAACTCAAAGAAAATGTGGTTCCCATTTTATTGCTTATTATTCTTTTTTGTCGCCGTATTGGTTTGCTAGCTATGTCCATATGCCTCTGTACCCGGGCAAACAAACACGGCGAGCCTCATATGAAACTTTAATAATAATTTTCTAGTTCACCAGAGTGGAATCCCGGATACGACGCGACCGGGGCGAACGGTCCGTTCTCCTACACGCAAGCAGCAAGCAAATTTTCTGCAACTATTGGGTAGCGATTTCGCACACTCCGCAAACCGTTGCCATATATTAATTAATGTAATGAAGCTGGCAATTAATCATAGTCTTCGCTAAGTTAGCCAGTTGAATCGAGATTGTTTCAGAATCTCGGCTTGAAATTATTTTGGTAATGGTGTATTTATTTCGAAATTTACAGGTATATAAACCAACAATATTGCAAGATATCCATTATTAAATAAAGCAGTATCTAATTTGTTTTTCTGATTATCAAGGATTTTCATCAAGTAAGGATAAAGTCAATCAATAAATAGAGTGTGTTTTTTATTTGTCTTGTGTTTACAAGAAGTAACTTTATTTAGAAATTCGAAAAATATTGTTAAAGGTATGTCTAGAACGCTGAGTTGTACGGGTGCCAAACATGGACGGTAGGCGTTGCGGAAAAGAAACGGTTGGAAGCGTTCGAAAAGTGGTGTTACCGCAAACGATGAGGATACCGAGGATAGAAAAGGTTAGAAATGAAGGGGTATATAGGCGAACAGAGAATTCTATGGAAGTTAATAAGAAATACGCGAGATAGGCTGGTAGGACACCTTCTCGGGCATGAATTTTAGTCAGAGACATATTAGAAGCAGGAGTTAAGAAGAGTAGAGATAGACCTAGTTTAGATTACTGTTCGCAAATATATAGTTAAGGATTTAGGATGTTCTAGTTTTAGCTCAGGATAGGAAGTAGTGGAGTAACGTGTCTAACTAGTCTTAAAAGTGACGACCTCATGATGATAATGACTTTTAATCACAAATCACATTGCTTCAAGTTAATATTTCCTACCGTTCATACAACAATTTAATTGAGATGCAGAACAAATGGATATAATTTAATGGTAATTTTCTTTCAAAATACGTTAAAAGTAACTACCATCTACAGGAATGGTTGTCCGTCATATCTACATGAAATCCATTTACTTAAAGCCCTTTTAAATATCACTTGCGGTTCTAGAAGAATCTCAACAAAATGTAGGTATACAGCAAAATAAATATTATGAATAATTAAATTGCGTGTCTAAAATCCGTATAGTATAGAGGGCGAGGAAGGGGGTTACAAACTGACCAAAATAGAATCCGATTTTCTCTTGAAATCTATCACAATAACATCCCTATAACTGATTTGTTGACAAGCCAAAATATCCAAATCTGAACGAAACCCGAATGATCAAATTGGTTGATTAAGGAACTTTCTGTGTAACGTTGAAACTCATTACATTACCGTAGAAAAGGATAACGTAGGTAAATTAATTAATCATTTTGGGGTTTCAATGTTAAAGGCACATATTAGTTTTACACCGACATCCGTTTCAAATTTCTTCTAATTTTAACAGCTCCCACATTAACAATTCAAAAATTTCCTACCGACCGATGAGGTCGGTTACCTACAATGCCAAAATAAACTACATTTCAGATAGAACAAAAAGCTCTTTCGAAGGTCGGCCGAAAAAGAAACAATGTGAAAAGCAGGTGTGCTCGCCCCGGAATGCCCTTTATACCCAACAAATAAATATTCCATCAAAGCAGCCTTTGAAATTCGTTCCTTTATAACAAGGTAACAATAATTGTGTCAGATCTTTTGGTAATCTAATAATTTGAATGCTAATAATGAGCCACATAACTCTATATATGTTATATTCCAAAATTGGAACAAAGACTTTTTAAAAAAGTTTATTAATACAAAGTACAAACTATACTAGGTCTAGTCTTAAGCTAGAATAACTACTCTATTTTATGAACGGCTTTTATAAACTATATCCTGTAAATGCAATGTCAGCAAAAGATGTCTTTATGAATCACACTATATCTTGCCTTAACACCTCCCCCATTAAGAGAAAAATTTATTATTTATTTTTTTTGAAAATAAATTTTTCCATCACTTTATATTTGGAATGGCCGGTGACACAAATTTTCGTAATAATTTTGGTTTTATTTTTTCGTTGGCTGTTGTTAAACTTTCCATGGAGATCGTTTCCAATTTAGGAGTATCTTTCTTCTCAAAAGTCGGTAAAGTTCGTTCTTCTTTTCTCGATTGACGGTTTATTATGGACCATACGAATTTAAAGGATTTTGGATAGCAATAGCGAATAAGGCAAATAGTTACTGTAATCCCAAGTAAAGTTGTTGGCAGTAAGAAATACCATTGGGAATGGATATTGGTGAAGACTCTAGCTGATTCATCCTTAATTTTTTGTTGGAGATTAGATAGTTTTGTTTGTAGAAGCGGAAGGTTCTCTCTTTTCAGATAGTTGAGATCGATGGGATCATCTTCAAGCTGGTTTAGAGTTCGCATTACTTGTTTACAGCAATTTTGAGGTATTTCCGGAGTAACTACCGGAACATTAACAATTTTATTTTGCTTGTTGTTCGTCGTTATTCTGAGTCCGTTATCGAAATAACACATACATTCTTCGCTAATTTTAAGCAAGGACGTCTGTTGAATGGTCGATCTCTTGATTGGTTGCCCTTTACATTTGTAAGTTATTTTTAATGGGTGTTTAGATGCTACCAGCCATGTGAAAGGATTGACTTGTTGAATGGATTCTTCTGTAGCTTTAAAAGTATAAATTTTACATTCTTGTGGAAATGATTTCTTCAGAAGTAGATTAGGTAGACAACGCACAGAGTTTCTCGCATCTTGAGGTTCCACGTTTTGAAGTAACGTGAGGTTTTCTTGACGAAGACTTTTTTCCAAACTTGGGATTTCTAGGTACCATTGATGGTCGTCAGAAATTGCCACGTAAGGATTGTCGGGTATAAGGGTGTGATAAAATGTATCGTTTGATTTTACGGGGTAGGAATATGCTTCGAATAGTTTCATTTTAATGTTCTTTACAAGTGGTATAATTAATTTGATTAAAATTCCATTTCTATAAAGGTAAATATTTGGATTTATAATTTGATAATATTTGTAAATATTTGTATTGTCAAAAGGAAACGGTAGTGCAGCACCTTCATTTGGACGAATTTGATGCAATTGTTCTTTTAATTGTTCGTGGTTTAGGACACTAGGATGCAAAATGTTAATTCTAGCAAAAGTAAGTGTTTCTATAATATTACTTACGTCTTTGTTGATTACAGATGCTACGTCATTAATAAGTGTTAATGTATTTAAAAATTGTAAAGTAATTTGGTTTTCATTTATTCTAATTGCATTTCCATTTAACGTTTCTTTAATTTTGAATATAGTTTTCTGGATAATTTTTTCATTTGAATTAACTTTAAATAAAGTGGCATTAAAATCTGCTATTACCATCTGAGTTAGATGAACTTGTTCATCCTGAAGTTTTAATATCCTTTTATTTGATGTTTGCAATTCGTTTATTAATTTATCATATTTAGCTTCATTATCAGCATCTAGCGTTCCAAACAAAGTGTGTAAGCCCGTTCCGATTATATTAAACCAGCCTCTACGTTTTCTTTTTGGATTTGGTACAATAAATTTTATTTCATTTAAATTGGTTTCTAAATTATTAAGGGTATTTTTTAAAACTGTAGCGTGTATTTTTAGGTTAACATTATTAATTTTGTTGCCTATTTCGTCTAATTCTTTTCGATAAGATTTAAGTATTTCAAAGTTTTGAAATAAAGGTGTCAAATTTTTGTAAATTAATATATCATATGAAGAATCTGAGAGAAGGAGGGACCCTTTGTCTTCGAAATAAATACCGGTGTTTGGTAGTTTTACTGTGAAGAGCTCGCAGCAGCATCTGTAAAAGATACAGATTTGTATGGTTTAATTTGTTCTACGCTGACTAATGTGAAATTGTCCTTATTATTTTTCTTATTAATTTTTACTACATTTTGTGAAATGATTTCCGTTATTATAAATGGACCTAACCATTTAGATTGACCTTGTTTGTTAATCAGTTGGTTTTTCAAAAAGACTTTATCGTTTACATGGTAATCTGGTAGTGGCTTTTTTATTTTGTTGTCATATTTTTGTTTGACTTTAATTTTAGTTTCAATTTGGTTATTAGATGCCAATTTCCTAAGCTCTTTTTGTTTTGACTGAGTTTCTGTAACATATTGTTCAATTGTCGTTTCGTTAACCATATCGTCTTTGGGACTATTGAGGTTTCTATGTTTAAATCCGTACAATATTTCAAAAGGGGTCAATTTCGTCGCATAATGGGTTGACGTATTATACGCAAATGTTGCTGAATCTAATAATGCTTTAGGGCCTAATTTATTTTTTTCTTTTGTCGAATAAGTCGAAATTGTATCTTTAAGTGTACTGATTACTCTCTCTACCATACCGTTAGTTTTGGGATGGTAACCTATCGATTTTGTATGTTGAATTCCTAACTCAAATGTTAATTTTTCTAATAATTTATTAACAAATTCTCCGCCATGATCAGTATGTACTCGTTTAGGTAGGCCAAAAGTTGCGATGAAATTTAATAATTTACTTTTAATCGTTTCTGCAGTTTTGTCTTTGATTATATAAGTTTTGAGGAATTTAGTTAATCGATCTTGTATTACTAAAACATATTCTTTTTTTGAAGGTGAGAAATAAATTTCGGCAGTATCTA